ATTGTTGTTTTAGGTGCTGTCGAGTCGAGTGCAACCCAGAGTGACCGTATGTGCAAAAGTTCTGAACCCTGTTCTGTCCTGCACCATCCTCGTGCTTCCTAACACAGAAGAGCCCACTGCAGCAGTCACCCTGTCAATCCACCTGGTTGAGGGTCTTCCTCTCCTTCACCGACCCTCCACGCTTCCCAGCATCATGTCCCTCTTGAAGGAATAGCCTCTCCTAGCAACACGCCCAAAGTATGTGAGGAGAAGTCTCATTATCATCGTACTTACCTCCAAAGAGCACTCTGGCTGCACCCTCTCCAAGGCATATCTATCTATCTATCTATTTTTTATTTTTAAATTTTTTAAAATTCATTCTAATGAAAGTTTACAGAGGCTTAAGGTTTCAAGTTGTTCATTGTTGCTCTTTTCTCCCTGCCCACCCCCGCCCCTCAAATTCATTCCCCCCCCAATTCACTCTTCTTGAAAAGTAAAAGAAAAACTCTTTCATTGTTATGCAATCTCTCTCCCACAAAGCCACTCCACTATGCAGCCTTTGTTCTCGATTCCGGTCATGACAATAATACCCAAACCTATATCCCTTTTAAACAGTTCTCTCCCTCATCTGTTTCAATGCAGTATACATCATTCCTCCCCTCCTTCTCTGTCTTCTCTCAACCCTGATGTCAGTCTCATTTTACAACAGTGGCACCATACAGTATTTGTCCTTTTGTGACTGAAATATTTCACTCAGCATAATGTCCTCCAGGGTCACCCATTTTGCATAATATTTCATTAGTTCCTTGTTTTTCAATGCAGTGTAGTATTCCATTGTGTGAATATACCACTTCTCTATCCATTCATTTGTTGATGGGCACTTAGGTTATTTCCAGCTCTTTGCTATTACAAACAAAGCCACAACAAACATGGGTGTGCACTGTTCATTCTCTTGGCCATCCATGGGATGTCCAGTGCCCCTCTCCAACACCACAGCTCAAAGGCATCAATTCTTCTGTCATCATATTTCACCATTCTTCTCTCAGATGCATAGCAAGCAATCAGAAAGACCAAGGCCTGGATCAGACACACCTTAGTCCTCAAACAGATGGATCCTGCCTGAAAGTAAGGAATACCAGAAAAATACCTAACTGTGCTTTATTGACTATGCAAAGGCCTTTGACTCTGTGGATCATAACGAGCTGTGCCTGATATTGAGAAGAATGGGAGTCTCAGAGCATTTAATTGTGCTCATGCAAAACCTATACCTGGACCAGGAGTCTGTGGTTTGAACAGAGCAGGGAAACACTGCATAGTTTAAAACTAAGAAGGGAGTAAGGGAGCTCTGGTGGCCTACTGCCAAGAAGCTGCACTGCAATCCCAGAGGTATGAGGTTCGAATCCCACCAGAAGCTCAACTGCAGAAAGAGAGACAATCTTCTCCTGTACCAGTCAGACCCAAATCGACGGTACTCTCACACACAATAATAAAGTTTCTTAAAAAATGAGAAGGGAGTGTGTCAGGGTTGTATTCTCTCTCCAAACCTATTCAATCTGTATGCTGAGCAAATTATCCAAGAAGCTGAATTCTTTAAAGTGGAGTGTGGCATCAGGAGTAGAGGGAGACTCATCAATAGCCTGCATTATGCAGATGGCACAACCTTGCTTGCTGAAAGTGAGGAGGACTTGAAGCACTTGTTGTAGAAGATCAGGGAATGCAGTCTTCAGGATGGATTGTATCTCAATGTCAAGAAAACAAAAATTCTTACCACTGGACCAATAGGCAACATCATGATGATGGAGGACAGGAGATTGAAGCCAAGCCCGCTGTGGCCAGGTGGGATGAGTCCTGGTGATGCTGTGGGCCGTGCAGGATGGTCCACTGCCTTCCTAAGACCGAGGATCCCCCAGGTGCAGACTGGCTTGCCTTCTCCTGCACAGCCGGGCATGTGCAGCAAGTGCTTTTTGTCACAGCACCGCGGGGGCTCCTGGAAATGCCGGGAAGTGGTGAAAAAGAAAAAGGCCTTGTACAAGGGACCCTCCAAGGGGCGGGTGGCCCTGTCCCTCATTTGTGATGGGCACATTCTACCCTTCTCTGGTGTTGGAAGCACCTGCAAGACTGTGGAGGAGAAGGCTGAGATATTTGGATTCATCCAGCTTGATTCCACCCAAGGGAAGGCCTTTCCTGTGGCCTCTTAGCCCAGGACAAGCCCTGCCCACATGCCCACCTGCCCACCTGCCCACCCTGTCTCACCTGCCTGCTCGCCCTGTCTCACCTGCTCACCTGCCCACCCACCCAGTCCCATCTGCTCGCCTGCTCTACCTAGCCCGCCTTCCCTGCCCCACCCATCTGCTCTGCTCACTTGCCCTGCACTGCCCTCCTGCCCTTCTCTGCATGCCCATCCTCTTGCCCTGCCCACCCACCTGCTCACCTGGCCACCGGCCTGCCCTTCCAGCCTGCCCTGCCTGCCCACCTGCCCGCTGGCCTGCCCTGCCCACCTGCCTGACGCAACCCCCTTATTGTTTCCTTTGCCCAAACAACAAGGCTCGTGAACAGAGCCTGAGTGATAGAGGCTCAGGTTTGAGAGTTGCTGGGAGTTTCCCTCTTTCCCTCCCTCCCTCTCTCTCTCATTTCTCCATTCTTTTCTGATTCAAAATGGCCAACACCAATCCACCTGAGCTCACTGATGCCTGGAGTCAATCTTTATTTATGTGTTCCGTTTCAGTTAAGACAACATGTTTCCCTAGATCTAAACTGCATACGGTCCATGGTCTGATTATTCATGCATGTTTGCAGAAAGTATCTTCCCACCTGAAGGGTTCACCTTCTGGCACTGTATCCAGCACGTTGCCCTGCTGTTCACAGCAGTTCCTGAGGCATTTCTGCAGTGGACGGTCATGTCTCCAGCGGATGGCCACGCCTGCTTCTTCGCCTTAGTCTGCAGGCTCCACTGAAGCCTGTGGATGATGCTGGTATTTGAAATTCCACTCACCAAACATTCACCACCACAGCGAATCATCACAGAGCAAACTGCAGACAAGTTCCATACCCAGAAGTAGTTGTTGTTGTTGTGTACTGTTGGGTCAGAACCGACCCATAGCTGACCCTCCAGTGGGTCTTCAGAGGCAGTGAGTCGCATGGGAGGAGAGCGCCCGTCCTTCTGAGGAGCCGCTGGCAGGTTTGAGCCGTGTTGGATAGCAGTGCAGATTCTTAACACTAGGCCACCAGAGCTCCCTCAGAGCAAACTCTAAAACCAACAAGTGACCAAATGTCATAAAACAAACGTGTATTATCAATTGCTTCTTAGACACCTGAAAGTTGGACGATGAATAAAGGCAACACAGAAGACTTGGTGCCTTTGTTGTGGTGCTAGGGAAGCGTGCTGACTATCGCACAGACAGCCAAGAAGGCAACAAGTCCAGCGTGGAGGGAATCAGCTAGGTCTCCTGAGAGGCAAGAAAGTGGCACTTTGGGTGTGTGGTCACTCTTCGGAAGAAGCTGTCCTGCTGCAAAGAGAGGAGAGTCCAAGAAAGACCTTCAAGCAGACAGAGTGGCACAGTGACCACGAAGGGTCTGTCCACGGTGGAAATCACGAGGATAGCACGGGTTTGGCCAGGGTTCCAATTTGTTCAAAGGACTCTGTGCGTCGTCTTTGACACATAACACATAGCAACAACCATTCTCTGCCCTGTGCGGCTAACGGTACCCTGCAACAAGAGCTGATAGACAGAGGATTCCAACTCTCCAAAGCAAGGTAGCATCTCTGACCACCAACCATGGTGGACTATTAAAATCTGAGCCTGCCTAACTCTGACTGTCCTTTCTTTTCCGGGGTTCTATCATCACAGCTTTTGTTCCGACCCCGAGCAGGTCTGCAGTGAGTCTCACTGATGTGTTGCTCCCCAGCGTGCCCTCCAATGTGGGGGCCCTGCCCCGCGGCCAGGCAACTCCATCTGTAATCTGAAGGTTAGGAGTTGGCACCAGCGTCTCTGTGTCTCTCTGAGTCAAAAGCCCACACCAGGAAGCCTTGGTCCGAGTCATCATCTCTACCCTGGCCCAAGAGGTGACAGTGGTCACTCCCTGAACCCTCATTTGCGTCTGTTCACTGTGTAAACTGGCCTGTCACTTTTAGGTCTGACGGGTGCTGGCCAGAGGAAAGGGACTCCATGTTCTTCCTGTGGACGACTTAATATTGTCACTAACAAAGGTTGGAGAGTCGAGTACACCCCAAAGCACTTAGGACGAAAGGCCTGGTGATGTATTCGCAAAACTCAGCTAGTGACGTCCACTTGGAGCACAGCCCTGCATGCTGGGGTCACCAGGAACCAGAGACCAGGGGCTCTGGGGGGCTGATGTGCCCCTCCCGTGTGACTTCTGGACCCTTCCTGCCTGCAGGAACCACAGGGCCCTCCCCACACCGTCCACCCCTCTGTCTCCAGGTCGCTGGGACGAAGTCACCGTTTAGACACCCCCACCATCAGGTCTGGAGAGGCAGATGCGCCTCACCCCTGGCCTTCCGAGCTCCCCACAGCGCTGGACAGCAGGCAGTCTGTTTGCAGGTAGGCAGCGGAGCCAAAAGCGCCCTTGTGTGCGCCCACAGCCTGCGAGTGAGTCCGCCCAGCCTGCGCGCCTGGCCTCCCAGGGGCATTCACTGTCACCTCCCACTTTTCCAGGTCCCCAACGCCGACCCTACACACCCAGCACCCGAGCTCAAGGGCAGCCCGGGTTCCCATTGCCGGGTGGCCTTCCTGGGTCCCCCCCTGCCCCGGTGGGAGTCACGCGGGGGGCGCGGGGCGGAGG